TCCAATATCCAGCTCAAAGGAGGTTTAAGTTCGTAAATGTTCGTCAAAGAAGTTCTACATGGTAGGGAATCCAGACAGGCCAGATGGAAGTGGGGAAAAATTAGGAGTAGTTCAGCAGGCCAAGATGGATGGGAAGCTATGATCGTAATAGGCCAATAGGCCAAAACTCAGTCCGAAGGAAGGAGGGGGGGGATTCAAACCGCATAAGTTTGTAGTCATTTTCCGGCCCCAATAACCCTCAACCTTCCATTCTAGTGGGTGAAGCTCCCCTATTTCGTCCCCCCCATCCAGCTCACCCTGGGGGGGGGTCTCTGGGTCTCCCTGGAGGTAACCCTTCCCTCAAGGGTCGTATACTCTCCAGTCACCCCAAAATCAGATCTAAAACCACTGCTGAAAAGTCCTGGTCCGTCTGTTTGGAAGTCTGTAGGCCCTTGGGAGCCGCCCCAACCTTAGGCGCCCCCGTCACGACCACCGCCGCGGCCTCCGCAGTCCCCACCGCCATCCGCGCCATTGGCCCCCCCACGGACGTCCCCAGCCGCCCCCTGCCTCCAAAGATCCACCTCGAGGCATCCAGGGGCGTGGGGAACCTCCGTAGGGGCCTCACAATGCCGATGTCGTCCAGGAGCTGCCGCCGCCGCCGCCATGACCACCCGCGACCGCCGCCGCCGCTCCCCTGCAGGCCGCAGACCGTCACCCACCGTCGTCCTGACGTCATCCCCCTCAGCGCTGGGATGGTCCGGGGAGCCGACAAAGCTCCCAACGGGCTCCTCAGATGTTGCTTCGCCCGGGCGGGGGGTCATAGATGTTCGAAATGACCCCCCTGAGCCCCCCCAAGCCGAGGCATCGCCCCCAAGAAGCCGAGACTCAACGTCGGAGCGCCATCTTGGGCATGCGCAGAAGACCAATATAGGGCAAGATGGCTTTCCCATTGTTTTGTTCCTCTTGTTGATTTCTCTTCTGTCTGGGTGTTGCATGCTGGATCATACTGATGATTTTATTTCTACAGAACCCATTTGATGTCAGTATGTTAGTTAATGTATATAATTCTGTTTGTAAATGTGCTTCATCAGCCAGACGTTCAGTTCTTGTGGTTAATGTTTTGGCAACAGAGTTTATTTGTGCTGGATGGTGATGTGATTTAGCGTTGAGATAGCGGTTCGTATGTGTCTTCTTTTGATAGATGGTATGTCCTAAGGTGCCATCAGATTTTTTATAAATTAATACATCAAGGAAAGGCAACTGATTTTCTGATTCTATCTCCATGGTGAACTTTATTTTGGGATGGAGGTTGTTCAAATATACTAAGAAGTTTTCCAGTTTATCTCTTCCATGCGGCCAGATCACAAAAGTGTCATCAACATATCTAAGCCACAATTTTGGCTTGTTAACAGTTTTTTCTAAAGCATTGGTTTCGAAATCTTCCATGAAAAGATTAGCGATAACCGGTGATAATGGTGATCCCATTGGTGCACCTTCTATTTGTTTATATCTCTGTTCTCTGTGTATGATATATGTGTTGGATAAACAATGTTCTGTTAAGTCTGTGATATGTTTCGGTAGTTGATATTTGTTTTTAATTGATGACAGGGCTTCTTTGACAGGTATTTGCGTGAATAGTGATACAACATCGAAGCTTACAAGTAAGTCATTTTCTTTTATGTGTTGCTTTTTCATTATTTGTATAAAATGGTATGAGTTCTGTACATATGAAGCAGCGGATTCTGCATAAGGTTGTAGATGTTTTGCTAGGTATTTGGCTAGATTTTGTAACGGTGAGCCTATGGAACTTACTATGGGTCTAAGAGGTATTCCATCTTTGTGTATTTTTGGGAAGCCATACAGTTTTGGACATTTTGATGATTTTTCTCTGGGAATAATTGTTTGTTGGATTTCTTTACTTATAGTACTTGATTTTATCTTTATCTTCGTGGTTTTTTCTAGATATGTTGTTGGGTCTGTGTTTATGGGTTTATATGTGGCATCTTGAAGTAAGTCAGACAGTTTCTTTTCATAGTCCACTCTGTTCATTACTACCGTTGCATTGCCTTTATCTGCTGGTAATATCATTATGCTATTATCGTTTTTTAAAACTTGTAGTGCTTTTTGTTCTTCTTTTGATAAGTTGCTTTTAGGTGGTTTACTAGTGCGTAGAATGTTGGTGACATCATGTCTAACTTTATCAGCATCATCAGCACTGAGTTTCTTTAAGCTGGTTTAACTTCGTATATGATGGTTTCTATAGGGATTTTCTTAGGTGCCACTGCAAAGTTAAAGCCCTTTGCTAAGACATTTGTTTCTGCTGTTGTTAGTTCTTTATTGGAAACATTGTATACTACTTGTTTTAAATGATGCTGTGCTGTGGTTAGAGGTTTTTTATGTTCTAATTTCTTAAGTTTCTTTAAATGTCTGTAAGTTTTATGAGTGGTTTCTATTTCAGATCTCCAGATGGCAAGTTGTTTTATTTTGTCCCATAATATGGGGTGAATAATATTGCTTATCTTTAAGTATAAAGTTAATAGATCTTTGTTTACTTGATCCAATAGGAATCTTTTGCTATGAATTTCATTTCTAACTAATGCCATTTCAGTTCTTCTCAGAATGCGTTGGATAGATGTTGTGTAGGTATGGAATTTCAATTTAAAGCAAGTAGGTATTATATTTTGATCATGACAGTGACATAAAAATGTTAAATCACACAGTATTCGAGTTCTTTTTATCTCTAACTTCTTGTAAGTTCTGGTAAGTTTATACATCTCCTCCCCGTAGAGGTGTGATATTTGTCTATGTAAGTTTTCACGGGTATATATGTGGGTACAGTTAATATCTTGGGTTTCTTCCCGTGTAATTGTAAACATATCCTTAAAAGGGTAGTAGCGACGTTTCGACGAAATCGCATTCGTCATCTTCTGGCTGATGTTCTCGGTTTGGTGCTTATGGGCAAACTGTGTGATTGTAACTGACGTTTTCTATGAAAAGAGGCAAAGGTGTATTCTGATTGGTCGACAGTGTTGTTGTATTCTGTTTGGCTGATGACGTAGCTGTATTTCGATTGGGTGGAAGCGCTGTTGCTTGGTTGTGGGTCAATGGATAAGTTATGCTGGAACTGGTGGCAACACAGGCCACCTTTGATCTATGGTTTATATTTTGTGTTAAGATTCGTCTGTCTATGAGAGCAGGTTTCCAAATAGTAGGCAGACAGGAAGTGTCATCACTTTATTTATACAATATGGTCTTTTCTCTATTTCAATGGCCTCTCTGATTATTCTGCCATTGAGATGTTCTATTTTTGCAACTGTTTTTGTGTTATTAAAATTAATATTATGTCCTGTGGCATTTATGTGTTATACTAATGATGATGTGTGTTCTTTCTTTTGTACTGAGTTTTTATGTTCCTCGATGCGCACACTCATTCTTCTGTTGAAAACAATGGGAAAGCCATCTTGCCCTATATAAAAGGAACAACGGATAAAATTAGCAAAGTACTGCATAGACACAACATCAAAACCATATTTTGCACAGATAGAAAGATATTGTCTATTCTGAGAAACCCTAAAGACAAAATAGAATTAGAAGATCAAGGCATATACGAGATCCCATGTGCTTCCTGCCCCTCAGCATATATTGGACAGACCAACAGAAGAATGAGTGTGCGCATCAAGGAACATAAAAACTCAGTACAAAAGAAAGAATACACATTATCATTAGTACAACACATAAATGCCACAGGACATAATATTAATTTTAATAACACAAAAACAGTTGCAAAAATAGAACATCTCAATGGCAGAATAATCAGAGAGGCCATTGAAATAGAGAAAAGACCATATTGTATGAATAAAGTGATGACACTTCCCGTCTGCCTACTATTTGGAAACCTGCTCTCATAGACAGACGAATCTTAACACAAAATATAAACCATAGATCAAAGGTGGCCTGTGTTGCCACCAGTTCCAGCATAACTTATCCATTGACCCACAACCAAGCAACAGCGCTTCCACCCAATCAAAATACACCTATGTCATCAGCCAATCAGAATACAACAACACTGTCGACCAATCAGAATACACCTTTGCCTCTTTTCATAGAAAAACATCAGTTACGATCACACAGTTTGCCCATAAGCACCAAACCGAGAACATCAGCCAGAAGATGATGAATGCGATTTCGTCGAAACATCGCTACTACCCTTTTAAGGATATGTTTACAATTACATGGGAAGAAACCCGAGATATTAACTGTACACACATACACACACACACACACACATACACACACACACACACACATAATGTAATAATATATAATAGTAATATAGTTACTATTTATTTAAATAGTAAACATATGTTTATAAAATACTATTAAACATATTTTATGCAGCCTCATAAAAATGACTCTTAGTGGCTCGCATACATAGAAAAGAACCTGATATCAAACAATCCCGTACATAAATAAAAACACAGCAACACTGCAAGAATAGAAATAAAATAAAAGATGACAATATGAAATCCAATTGGAAGAAGGCTGTTTGAAAAATCTTGGTTTTTTGGAGTTTGGTGAGAACAGCAGAGAGGAGCCAGTCTGACAGCTGCGGCGTGCGGTCCTCAGACCCCCCCCTTTTTTTAACCTTTTAAAAGCATTTTTTTACAACCTATTCGCCTGAATAGGTTGTAAAAAATGCTTTAAAAAAATAAAAAAGTTGGCCAGTCACATTACCCCCACCAAGACACACCCACAGAACTGGTAGTAACGAATTTTACATTTCACCACTGATTACAATTAACCTATTGGGTAAAGTCAATGGCTAAGGATCAACAAAAGCCAATAGCTGTTGAGTTATGTGGTTCACACCTTTGCTATAGGCAACTACCCTAAACTGTAAGCATAATATAATAACAATGTCTGAAAGCTGTTCTGTGAAACCCCATCTGAACTTTCCCCAATTATACAGCATCAGGATGTTCATGAACATAAAAACATACTGTAAAATATTCGGTACTAACCTGTTACCCAAAAAAAGCTGGTCACAAAACATGCATATGCCATGAAAATCTGCATCATATCTTTCTTGCTGCTGTTGATCCAGAATATCTTTCTATTGATTGAAAAACAAAATATTCCATCATATTTTTAATAAGAACCTGTTGCAAATTATTCCTAGAAAAAATCACTTTAATTCATTCACTTAAACCATTCATTACTTCATTAATCATTTACCATCTTTTACATGTTTTCTTCCATTATAATATCATATTGCACTGTGCTGAACTATATACAACATATTCTTGTAATATATTGTATAATATGTGGTGCAATATCATTTGACCATTGGAAAAAACATTTTGCTGTTATATATATATATATTTTCTGAGGTTTTCGCGGGTGTTTGTATGTAGGTCTTTGGTTATTCGGGTTTTCTCCCACGTAAAATTGGAGGTTTCTTGGCAACGTTTTGACGAAGTCTCATTTGTCATCTTCAGGCTGGTGTCTTCGGCTTCGTGCTTCTAGGAGCAATGTGTGTGATCGCAGCTGTTTCTTCCTTTTAACTGCCAGTGGGGGTGTGAACTGATTGGGTGGGAGCTTGGCTGTGTTCTGATTGGGTGAAGGTGTGTTCTGATTGGTTGGGGGTTTGGCTGTGCTCTGATTGGATGGGGGTTGGCTGTGCTCTGATTGGATGGGTGTGTGTTCTGTTTAGGTGGGGGCTTGGTTGTGCTCGGGTTAGTCTGAGTAGCAGGGGGATTTGAGCTGGTGAGCTGTGTTGCTGTTGTTTGGCTTCGTGTTCGTGGCCGTGCCACCTCTTCATGGTGGGTGTCAGTCTGCTTCATGTATGGATTGGAGGGGTTTAAAGTGGCTAATGATGCAGCTGTGGTCTGGCTTCTGCTCCGTGGTCGTGCCTCATCATCAGTGTGGGTTTGAGTCTGCATTCTGCGTGGATGTATGGTGGTTACATCCTGTGTGACTCTTGTGAGTGTGGGTCTGGTGTCATTCTTTGTGTTAGGGACTCGTTTGTCAATAAGGGCGGGTTTCCAAATGGCTGGTAGGCGGGAGGTATCATCTCGTTTATTTACGCTGTGTGGACGTTTTTCTATCTCGATGGCTTCTCTAATTATTCTGTTGTTAAAGTGTTCAGTTTTGGCGATTGTTCTGATCTTTTTAAAGTCAATATCATGTCCTGTGGCTTTGAAGTGTTGGACCAGGGAAGAAGTTGGTTCCTCTTTTCTGACTGAATTCTTGTGTTCTTCAATGTGTGCACTTATTCTTCTGTTGGTTTGTCCGATGTATGTGGTGGGGCAGGCGGTACATGGGATTTCATATACTCCTTGATTTTCTAACTCAATTTTGTCTTTGGGGTTTCTTAGGATAGTAGATATTTTTTGGTTTGTGCAGAATGCTGTTTTGATGTTGTGTTTGTGGAGGATCTTGCTGATTCTGTCTGTGGTGCCTTTTATGTATGGGAGGAGGGCTTTGCCGTTTTCTTGTTCTCTGTCTAGGATTTTAGTGGGGGTTTCTTTTTGGATTAGGTTGGTAATCTTATTTCTTTGGAATCCATTAGATATTAGTACGTTAGTGAGAGTGTGTAGTTTGGTTTTTAGGTGTTGTTCGTCAGCTAAGCGTTTTGTTCTGGAGATGAGTGTCTTGGCTACGGAGTTGATCTGTGCTGGGTGGTGGTGTGAGAGTGCATGCAGATAGCGGTTTGTGTGTGTTTTCTCCTGGTAGATGCTGTGTCCTAGGGAGCCATTGGATTTTTTGTAGACTAAGACATTCAGGAAGGGAAGTTGGTTGTTCGCTTCTGTTTCATGGTGAACTGTATTTTGGGGTGTAGGCTGTTGAGGTGTGTGAGGAAGTTGTCCAGTTTTTCTTTCCCATGTGGCCAGATTATGAAGGTGTCGTCTACGTATCTGAGCCAGAGTTTGGGTTTGTGATCCGATTTTTCTAGAGCTTGGGTTTCAAAGTGTTCCATGTAGAGGTTAGCAATGACAGGTGAGAGCGGTGATCCCATGGGTGCTCCTTCTATTTGTTTGTATTTTTGTCTGTTATAGATAAAGTTTGTGTTGGATAGGCAGTGGTTGGTCAGATCTAGGATGTGCTTGGGGGGGTTATATTTGTTTTGGATAGCTGTCAAGGCTTCTTTGATTGGCACTTGGGTGAAGAGGGATATGACATCGAAGCTTACGAGTAGGTCGCTGGGCTGTAAGTTTTGTTACTTTATGATCTCTATGAACTGGAATGAGTTTTTTACATGTGAGTTGATGGATTCTGCATAGGGCTGTAGTTGTTTGGCGAGAAATTTGGCTAGGTTTTGCAGAGGTGAGCCTATGGAGCTGACTATGGGTCTAAGTGGGGTTCCTTCTTTGTGTATCTTGGGGAGACCATAGAGCTTAGGGCATTTGGATGATTTCTCTTTGGGAATGATTCTTTGCTGGATCTCTTTGCTGATGGGAGAGGCTTTTATTTTGGATCTAGTGGTTTTTTCCAGGTAAGTGGTGGTATCTGTGTTTAGGGGTTTGTATGTGGAGTCTTGGAGTAGGTTGGTTAATTTGGTTTGGTAGTCAGATGTGTTCATAACCACCGTGGCGTTTCCCTTGTCTGCTGGTAGGATTATTATGCTAGTGTCTTCTTTCAGGTTAAGTAATGCTGTCTCTTCCTCTTTGGGTAAGTTGCTTTTGGGTGGCTTGCTGGTGCAGAGGATGTTGGTGATTTCGAGTCTGATTCTGTTAGCGTCGTCGGGGTTGACTTTGGTCAGGCTCGTTTCAACTCTGCATATAATGGTTTCAATGGGGATGTGTTTGGGAGCGACTGCAAAGTTGAATCCTTTGGAAAGGACATTGGTTTCGGCTTTGGTGAGGATCCTATCTGAGATGTTATGCACTGTTTGTTTCATGTGTGGCTGTGAGGGGGGGGAGGGGTTTGTTTCTGGTGTTCTTGTAGTCTTCGGAGTTTGTTAGTGTGTGTGTCTATCTTGAGGGTGGTCTGTGTTTCGGCTCTCCAGACAGTGAGTTGTTTGGATTTGTCCCAAAGTGCGGGATGGATCTTGTTGCTGAGTTTGAGGTGAAGTGTGAGGAGATCTTTGTTGATTCGGTCTAGGGGGAATCTTTTTGTGTGAACTTCACGACGCTAACAGAATCAGACTCGAAATCATCTGACCCAATAATTGAGAAAGCAACAGCAGAGGAACCATCTTGAGAGACTGCACACGTCTCACCACATTCCGGATGATGACCAGGCGTTCCTGAGAAAGGAAGACTAGGCTGGATAAGATGTTGATTTGTGCACTGAGGTGGACAAGGTCGATAGAGGGAGTGAGATGACTCTTCTCCCAGTTCACGGTGAACCCATGTTCCTGGAGCATCCTCATTGTTACCTGGAGGTCGAGTTCCGCCTGTTGGGGTGAGTAAGAGCATGCGCGAAGATGGCGGCTCGTAGGTGAAGCTCCGATGCCTCGGAGGAGAAGTAGGGCTTACTGAGGACTTTTGGGGGGGCCGAATATCAGCTGTTGGCCCCCGCCCAGCAAGAGGAATGTGTGGGCAGCCTGTCGCGAGCTTTTGAGCTCCCCTGGATGATCGGCGTGGGCGGCTGGAGCCGAAAAACGCCGCGAGGCTATGGCGGAGGTGAACGGGAGGCTGGAGCAAGGTCGGGGCGGCGCCGGGTTGCCTTGGCGTCCCCCCCAGCGGCGCCCTCCCAGTGTTGGCCGGAGCGGGGAGGGGTGTGGGGAGACAGCGGCTCGTTGGAGCGTCCCCCCCGGAAAAGCACCCCGATATGGTTCCCAGCTGTCAGCAGCGGCCGCGACGGTTGGAGCGGCGGCTGCGGCGGCTGGGGATGAAACGACGGCCGCTTGGGCGGTGCTGGGTGAAACGGCACTATCCTGGCTGTTCTCAGACCGACTTTAGACCTTTTTACCAGGGTCGGTTATTTACTGCGGAGGGAGGAAGGGAAGAATGCAGTCTAACTGGTTGCTGACTTCTGAAGACCCCTGAAGACCGGGGCTTAAAGGGGATTAGAAGACCCTATGGAGACTGGGGGTTTGGCAAAGTTGGGCGACTGGCCTGCCTCCCCCTAGCCTGTATCCATTTTCCCCTCCCCGCCGCGGCCTGGTTATGGGCGTGGGCGGGGCCGTGGCCATTTGATCTGGACCTTATCTGCACCGGCACTGGACTGCATTGGACTTATTGGACCCCTGACCTGACCTGACTATAATTGACCCCTGGTTTCCGGCTATATCATCAGTCCCAGTCACATTTACAATGCCTTGCTATGTGGAGAGGCTTAAGCCTGGGTGTGGTCACCGAGGGAGTCACCTTGCTGTTATTGCCACTGAATTAGACCTGTCGATACCAGCCGCCGTGAGAGGGTGGCTTGGTCATTGTTTTCTCAGGACATCGGCTTGAGACTCCTCTCCACTGCCGTGAGAGGACAGTGGAGCCCCGGTTCTGATCCGCGCCAAAATGGTGAACTGTCTCTCCTGGACTTTTAAGTGTACCATCATTGAATCCTTAGCTTGACTCTATTTCCCCAGGTGAACTTGCAGGAATGTATTCACCGGCTGAGCTCTTTGCCTTGCGAGACTCCCCCCTCTCGCAAGCCTGGCCTTCCATTTTATCGAAGGCCTACCTCGATGAAGGGCTTTGGAACTCAGAGAGGTGGCATGTCGCGAAGAGGGGGTTGAGGGGTTTTTTATATAAAGTTTTAGCAAATGTCTTAAGGGGTTCCGGAGGGGGGGAGGGTTGGATCAGAAGTAAGGCCATGGGTATGGGGGATAACCCACTAAGGGGAGGGCCAGGTAAGGCTATGGAGCACGGCATGGGGGGTGGGGGGCCCGGGGTCAAGAGGGGGGATAAAGTTCATCCAGATAAGGTTTTTACCATCAGTACTGTGGGTGGGAGGGGTAGATATGGCGGGAGCAGGGGGCCATATCGTGTTAGGGGAGCGCGCGCCCGCTGTCTTCGAGCGGTGGCGCGCTCCGGCCCCCAAAGCTCCACTCGTTTTCCAGGTGGCGCAGATCCTCAGGGCCCTGGCCTCCGTCTGATGTTATGCAATGCCAGGTTTGTAGTAAATAAAACCCCCCTCATTTGTGATCTTGTTCAGGAGGGGGGAGCG